CCCCACAACCCTCTCGCCCCGCTCCCTCGCCCTGTCCTGGGCTTCCCATCTCCTCTGCGTGTGGGGGGGGGGGGGGGGGGGTCACCACCCCCTCCCCGGTGACCTCGGTGACCGCGCCGTAGTTGGGAATCGAATTCGGGTTGCTGGATTCGTAGGGCAGTGCCGTGGAGTGCTGCGCCACCGCTTCGCCAGCGGCATCATCGACTGTCACTGAATACCTCACTCTCGCGCGAACATGTGATTATGATTTGTACACAGCTGCCTATTTAAGTTGTCTGCCTAACAACTGGCTTGCTACGAGTTGATATGCTTACAGCTGCTTTGCTTCAAGCTGCTCAACAACAGCTGATGAGTCAACAAGCAGACCTACCAACAGCCAGCTTACCAACAGCCAGCTTACCAACAGCTGACTTACCAACAGCCAGCTTACCAACAACTGACTTACCAACAGCCAGCTTACCAACAGCCAGCTTACCAACAGCCGACTTACCAACAGCCAGCTTACCAACAGCCGACTTACCAAAATCTGGTTTATCAACAGCTGACTTACCAACAGCTGACTTGCCAACAGCTGACTTACCAGCAACCAGCTTGATAGCAGCCGACTTCCCAATGGCCAGCCTACCAACAGCCAGCTTTCCAACAGCTGACTTACCAACAGCTGACTTACCAACAGCTGACTTACCAACAGCTGACTTACTAACAGCCAGCTTACCAACAGCCAGCTTACCAACAGCTGACTTACGAACAGCTGACTTACCAACAGCCAGCTTACCAACAGCCAGCTTACCAACAGCCAGCTTACCAACAGCCGACTTACCAAAATCTGGTTTATCAACAGCTGACTTACCAACAGCTGACTTGCCAACAGCTGACTTACCAGCAACCAGCTTGATAGCAGCTGACTTCCCAATGGCCAGTCTACCAACAAGCAGCAGCCGACTTACAACCCACCAGCTCACCAACACCCGACACACCAACAGCCAGCACGGTAGCCGCGGACGGTGTCGAACCTTGATAATTACGAATTGACGACGAGTACAAAGTTGGCGCCAAACCGCCTCGGCTCGGGATTGCTCACCTAACGATTGCTCCCGTCGGTAGCGGCGATATTAGAAAACGCGGAGACGGGACGATCAAACGGTGGGGGGGGGGGGCGAGACGCGATGAGCCGTGATAAATAATTTATCGCGGCTCTGCGCCTCCATGCGCCAAAACTTTTTAGAATCCCCGTAATTATGACAGGCGTGGTAATTGACGAAGCAGCCGATGAGCGTGCCGTTAATAAGGTAAGCAACAGGGATGGCTTTGCCAGTTGCTGTTTAATATCCAGGCGATGTGCAATTGATTTTCCTGGAAATTAATCATCCTGCCGCCGTGGGTGCTGCCTCGCGGCTGACAGCGCCTGCACGCCCGCCGATTGCGTGCATATATTGCATCCCTCAACAAGTTTTGCCAGTTATTTGTTTGTGCGTCGCAGTTTAAATTAAACCATAACCGTAATATATTACACATCAAAACAATCACCGCTGATGCGAAGTTGTTGATTCGAGATGATTTTTGTTTTTTTTTAATTCGCGCCCATTTTTCTTTTTTTGGTTAACGGAAGCGCCTCTTCTCCGTGTGCGCGTCTGCGTGCGGAGTTTATTCGGGAAGTTGCTTTTTTTTCCCCGATTTGAGAGGGAAACTTCAATTAGCAGCGTTCAGCGGCAATAATCTAAATCCCGGGCCTTTAAAACGAATGAAACGCGAAGACGTTACCGGAGCAGCAACGCGCCAGACCTTCATCAGATGTGACGTTTGCTGCCGGCGTCGGACTGCCATGCTCGGCGTGCTGCCGCGCTCGGGCCGACGTTGTCGCAGAGGTCGCCCGGCATCGACCGCCACGCCCCCTGCCCACCATGTGCCACTCCTAGGGCGTCGCTTGCGTCCGTGCAAACCGTGTAAGATTTGCTCCGAAATCGTGACCCCTGACCCCCTCTCCCCATACGAGTGGCCGTGTCGCGTGCACCCCCCCCCCCCCCTCCGGGTTAGGGGGGGGGGCGGGGGAGGTGGTGCGACCGTCGAGACCCCCACCCCCGCAAGGCACGCGTTGGCGCCCCCCCCCTACCCCCCAGGTGACGTCATCAGTAGCGCCACCAAATTCGATGCGGCAAGCAACGCGGGACGGAACGGCGCAGGCGCGCGCGCGCGCGAAGCCGCGTCTTAATTACGGCGTTACAACGAAAGCGCGCGCACGCTCGCGCGCCTTTCCCTTTGTGCCGCGGCGGTGCGGAGGGTAGTGAGCGAGGCTGGGCGCCGCAGGGGATGGGGAGCCGCGCGTGCGTGCGGACGGTGCCATTTTGCGCGAGCTCATCATTAACGGCGGAGCCGAGGGGCCTGACCTTAATCGGAAGGCACACTAATTTTCACTCGCCTAATAAACGAGGTTTTAATCAGGAGTGCCTAAATGTCAAAGGCGCAGACACAAAATGCCACCACATTTCTTACTATCATTTTCCAAACCCGACTTTTACCTCTCGCCCTCTCTCGCTCTCTCTCTCTCTCGTTCCTGCTCCCCCACTTAGAGCTGAATGTTGAGATGTGCGGTGCGCGTGGTTAGGCGTGCACGCCGAGCAGCCGATGCCTGCACCGGTCAACCTGGTGCTGCGGGGAAGCGGAGCGGAGGTTATCCTCCTAGAGCCACCGTTCTATTTCGGGATTTCCTTCCGGTGTCCGAACAAGGCCCTCGCCCGTGTGGGACGAGCGCCACGTTCGGCCCGAACCGCGGTGCCGCCTTGCGCGATTACGTTCGCCTCCATCGTACGTTGAACTTCTGCCGCACCGTACGTAGCCAACCGTGCTAACGACAAGCAGTTCTGAATAAAAACATTGCTACTCGTGAAACACAAACGTGCCTGTTCGTTCGTTTGTTTCCTTACCGAGGCGCTAATCGAGACGGCCGCGAGCGATCGAATGCGCCGGGCGCGCGGGCATCGCCTCGTGGCTCGGCGAGGCGCCGCACCTGGCCATGCCGTGCGGGGCCTCGCCGTGCGGGGCAAGTGAAGCCTGTGGGGCCCGGCCGCGCGACCAGTTCGCTCCCGGGGGTATTGCGCCCGAATCGCGAGCGCGCTGCAAATATCGGACATGGGATGCCTCTCAATCTCCTTCTCTGAGAAGGGGCAGTAAATGGATGATCTTTTCTGAAAAAGATAAAAAAAGCGCTGAATGACAAGAGTCAGGAATCGACCAGGAATTGCTCTGGATTGGCCGCAGCTGTCAGCGGCGTTGACACGAGCGCATTCGCGGGGGCCTCATCCCTGCCCACCTCCCAGCCGTCAACAAAACCTCATTTCATCCTTCAAGGTTTCTCCCGAAACTAACCTCCCCAGCACCACCTCCTCCAATGGCGCAAGATCAGATAAAGAAAGATTGGCCCGTATTAATCTTTTTGTGTCTTAAGTGCCAGTGATAAAAAGCCGCTAAAAGCCTGTCAAGTGCAGCGCGTATTGATTCGCGGCTGATTTAATTGACCTGCGAATTGACGTATTTAGGAGCTCAATGCGCCGCTCCTCTCCGACGGAGCTGAAGGCAAAACGAGCGCCGCGTCTCGCGCTGAGGTCAGGGACGCTCGCGACGGACGGGCATTGTCTCGTTTCTCCGATTGCGTCTGAAGCTTCTGTTTTTTTTTATTGTTATTTTCTGTTACGGGACCTCATGAACTCGCTCTCTCGCGCTCCCGTCGCGCCGAAAGTGCTTTTCTCTCGCGCACTCCGAAGGACGGAATTCAAAGGCGGCGGCGGCGATTTGTGTCGTGCGTACGTGCGATGCGTGTTCCAGCGCGTCGCGTTCTGAATCACGCTGCGTTCCGGCAGGCCCTCCGAGGGAACGCCGCTTAAAAGCCGTCTTTTTGATCCGCCCAGGTGTCGGGGGTGGGGGGGGGAAGAGCGGCGCTTCGAACGAAAGACCCTCGGCCAATCTCACCTCTAACCACCGACGATCGGCAAACAAAAATAATCACCGGACACGTTCAGGGTGACCGGGCCACCAAGTGGTGATCAGGTTACCAGGTGAAGGCGCTCGATCTCACCGGCCCTCACAAGCCGAGCTTGATCGGCGCTTCAGTCGTACGCTCGGGGTGCAACGTAGCCACCTCTCGGCACTGCGGTGGATTTTTCGAATCGGTCTATCCGGAGCTTCGAGTGATGTCCCCTTATATGCGTGATAGGTTTTCTCTGGTCCCCCATGAATGGGACTGCCTAAAAAACATTGTAAAGCACCCCCGATTAACACGGTTGGCTATGTATGGTGCGAAATAAGTTCAACATAGATACAAACGGAGCATGGCACTCTTGACAGACAATCTTGGGACTCGGTGAACCTTTCCTGGGTAGATAAAGGGCAATGTCATGATTGTTGTTTTTGTAAGTGACTGATTTAATTGTATATTTTGTCGTGTTTTTTTCTCGCAATGTTATTCGAATTGTGTAATTGGCAAAGTGTTATTTTGATAGTGTCATCCATGTGGATCTCTCGTAGAGCAGTGTAACTCTTCATGTTAGAGAATGTCCCACGGAAGTAGCTTCCACAGAGCTAGTTCTCAGATCCCTTTTGAATGACCTTTGTCTCACCAGATGAACGGCAGCACTTTCCTACCCATCTTGTCATAGGGAAAAATGGCAGTCAAACCGATATGTGTTTATTAGCAGAGCTGGACATTAGCCAAGTTAAGTGCAGAACCAAATTTGATGTGATGGGGATTTTGAGGCATTCATTTTGTGGCCGGACACAGACCATCAGTTCACCACGCTTTAGAAACTGTTTGAATCGCACGTGGCTGAAACCCGGATTCGAACTCAGAATCCCAGGGGTGCCAGCTCGGAGGGTAACCGAGCGTCGCGGTCTGTGCGTGACTCCCACAGGGCTCTTCTTCTGGCCGGGCCACGCGATGACCGGGAGCGTGCGCCGCCACGTTGTGACATCTCACTCGGTGTGCTGTGCCTCCGCGGTGCTGCGTGCAGGACGGAAGAAGGCGAGCCTCTTCGACGGACTCAGCCCCACCAGCTGCCCCGTGTGCGGCGTGACGCTGCGGCCCGGGGAGCTGCGTGAGCACCTGGAGCAGGAGCTCAACACCCTGCGGCAGCTCTTCAGGTGAGGGCGCTCTGACGGCCCGCCGCCCCGCCGCCCCGCCGTTCCACCGTTCCGCCGTTTCGCCGTTCCACCTTCCCACCGTTTCACCGTCCCCAGCGCCCCACCGCTCTAACTGTCCCACCGCACCACCGTCGCACCGTTCCGCTGTTCCACCACCCGAGACGGATACCCTGTTTCACCGCCGCGCCCCACCATTCATTGCGGCACTGTGCCGCAGCGCCGCGCTAAACCACCGTGTCCCACCATCGCATCCCACAAGAGCCGTCCCTGCACTCTGCTGCATTCCCCCTCACCCCCTCTCCTTCCCCACCGTCCACGACACAGTCCCATCGTCCCGTGCCCCCTATCAGAAGCGTGACAGATCCATTTATTCCTCGCTTAACTTTCTTCCTCGAGTCTTCCTCCTTCGCTTCATCGCCGAGGCCAAGAATCAACACTGCACGGGATTTAAACACAATTTAGAATTTGCATGCGGCGCGTGCACTTTGCTGGGCTGCACCCGATCACGGCGCTACGGGCAGACAATCTAAATGGAGGGTTCTACGAGGAGGCACTTTGAACGTAACAAGTTTCCGCCGCGGGATAGTGAAGGGTGCATTACGGAGGCGGCCGGTCGCTCGCCGCCGGTCGCAGAGAGACATCAAAGGGGCGATGAGTGGGAGCGTGGCGGTGGTGGCGGCTCGCATAAACAAGTTCATGGATGCGCATAATTTATTGGGCGGCATTTGCGCGCACGCCAACCTCGGCGGAGGACGGCGCGGGGACACGGAAGTCAGGTTTGCTCATCGATCACCCGTCGGAGCGTCCGCGCTGATTGAATGCGTTGGCGGTCATTTGCCCTTCATTAGTATGGTAGCGGCGCCGCAGAGATAAACCGGGCCCCCCCTTCCCCCCCCCCCCCCAATCGCCCCCCCTTTACCACCCCCCCCCCCTTCGCCTTCCACGCCGTGCTTTGCCGCGTTGGCTGGTCAGCTGGCCGGCTGGGTGGACCCGTGCCGCGGCAGCGTGCCGGAGCCGTGCCGCCCCCGTGGTGTCCCGCAGGAGACAATAGACCCGCAGAGCTGCCGTGGCGAGATAAGGAGGTCCGCCGAGTCGGGCCGTCATGATTAGCGACAATTTCTGAGTGGGGGGGGGGGGGGGGGGGGGGGGGGGGGCGGTGTCGGGTGGGGGCTCTGGGGCAGCGATAATGTGGCTGATTAAGCCTCGGTCAAAAAAAACACACAGCAAGTCACAATCTTATCGGCTCGCAGCTACAAAGGAACACGATTATCAGGCAATTAATAACCACGCCTGGGTAGTGCGGTGGTGGCCTCGTGCCGATAGTCATCGTGAGAGGGACGGGCCGCGATGTTTCCCCCGCGGTCGACGATTTAACCCAAAGACAAAGGCGCTCGCCACACGGGCTAAACGCGAGATCTAACCCCCCCCCCCCCTCACCCCACCCCTCACCCAGATATCATCGCCACCCGCCGTCTCCTCTCTCGTTCCGTCTTGCACGGAGTCATTCACCGGCGCGGAGCGGCCCGCTTGTGTGCGTTGTACAAAAGGCATTGTAGCGCGTTCAATGGGTGGCTTAGGACTATATTACTGCTCTGCGCGAGACAAGTGAATCTGAATGCACCGAGGAGGCAGAGTTAAGGGTGCGCTTCACCGACACTCTCGCACGTGGGATGCGCAATGTGTTCAGCGGGTGGTGTTAATAGTCTGTGTGTGTGTTGTGGATGTAGTAGGCGCAGCGTCTGTTGCACAAATGTATATCGAAGCGGTTTCCCGCTCGAGCGAGTTTGGAGGAAGTGGCCATCTTCTGCCCACAGCTCTGAGCCGGTTGTGGAAATTCCACGAGGCGGTACACATTCTATTGATCCCTGAGGGACGATGAGCCGAATTCAAACTCCCCCGACCCCCCCCCCCCCCCCAAACCTGGGATTGAACTCGCAACCTCCCGATTGCGAGCCGCTCGCTGTCTTCCGCGACCATTTATATTTAGTATACGGTCTGCATTTTGGATGCATTTAGTATATGGTAACCATATGTTTAGCATGCACGTTGTGCGTACTCAATATTGTATTGTATGGTGCGACGAGCGGTGGCACATTGGTTTGCGGACCGTGCTATGAACCCGGCCACCTGAGTTAAATTCCCAGCCATGGCTGCCATCGTTTGGCGAGTGATGTCAGAACCGGCGTGGAGAGTCCCCACAGCTTCAATCCGCACTGACTGGCGTGGTGAAGTATGGTCAAACGACCTCCACCCCCCATTACTGATACGGTGTGTGGGAGGCCTTTATTCAGTAGTGGATTGACAACGGGTCGTAAATCATTAATATTATATCGTACCCATTTAGCATATAGTACCCACATTATATATCTATATTATAAATTCCATTATATTTTTTGCCCCCCGCCCCCCCCCCCCCCCACCACCACCGAAAAAAAATAATAATACACATTTCAACGTCTGATCACAAAAGTGAGATTGTAAAAAAAAAAAAATGGAGAGAAGAGATGAGCGCGCATTCAAAATTGCGAGCGGTACGTGTTGGCAATGTAGATCTCCCGTAATGCGCGCGGCGCGCTAGACCCCTTTCAGGCGGCGCTCGCCAGCGAGGTGAGGCCGCTCGCGGAGCTCTAATCACGGGTTAGCGCCATTAGCCGGGTGTCGTGCCGTCTCCCCGGGGGCCGCTCCGCCGTGATTGATGGACGGGGGGGGGGGGGGGGTAGAGCGCAGGCGTCCCCCCCACCCCCCCCCCCATCCCAAACCGCCGTCGCCCCCCTCGCCGCCCCCTCGCGCCCCGCCGCACCGGCGACCCGGCCGACGACGCTCGGCGCTTTCGACCGGTGACCGGCGTGGAGGCTGGCGACGTGCTGGGCGCTGCCGCCCCCCCCCCCCCCCCTCCGTCGCCGCCGGGTTTGTTTATTTGCGCGGGCGGCGGCGGTCGGTGCGTTATCGAGTTTAAACGCAGAGGGCCCCCCCCCCCCCCCCCCCCCCCCGTGCCTCTCTCTGTCGCGCGCAGATCCCGGAGCGAGCCACCGCTAATGGTGCTTAAGAAATCAATGGCAGCCCACGGAGCGAGTGCCCGCCGTGTTTTAAAGCCAGATAAAATGAGCTAAATTTGTTTTGACGCGCGAGATTGAAAGGAATTTGCTTTGCGCCATTCGTTTCTGGCCACCCGGTGGCCACAAAAAAATTAATTTTACACCTCCCCCCCCTACCACCCACCCCCCGACCCCCACCGCCGTCGCTGCTACGGAGCTATGAATTTTAATAAAGGGCCGCGCATAACGTGCGGCCCGTGGAATCGCCCGCTTACCACGGGCCCTATCCATCTTGATGGGTGTCTGTCGGACTGCTCCGGGGGGGGAGGGGGTGTCCGGGCAGAGGAGTGAGCACCGCCCGTCGTTGAGCGGTCCTCTGGCGGCGAGCGCTCCGCCCGGGTGAATCGATGGCCACCGAGCCGGGGGGGGGGGGGGGGGGGGGGAAGGGGGGTGGTCCCTGGTGGCGGCGGCACTTGATAAATCTGACCGAATAAAGCAGAATCGGATTTATCGCCGTACGTCGAGGGGCTCTCTCCGTGGACGGCCGCCGACGCAGAGGGCGGCCGGTCGGCTTTGCAGGGGGTGAGGCAGCGCTCGCCCGATCGCAAACGGAGCCCTAACGAGACGAAGGTGACAGTGCCCGGGCCTTCGTTCTTCACATCTGGTTTGCGGGACACAGGGAATTCTTTTAACGTCTGTTATATATTTATATACTTAATGTTTGCGCCGGCCACGGCCGCCTTATTCTTTTGCACGTGTTGCCATAACTTTTTTTAACGGCCAATATCTGCATTTGGGAAGGGGGGGGGGGTGGGCAATAAACTTTCCCCGTTTCCCGTATAATCATATCGCTCCCGCACACACACGGGCACCTCCCGCACGCACGTGCCTGGCGGCGTGTTCTACCAGCAATACGCACGTTGCGTTACTCGGTACTTTGCGTTCTAAGGCACTTAAAACAAAACATTTGAAATAAAACTGGACCTTCACGTACCCCTGCAAGCGCGCCAAGCGCCCGCGAATGATCCCGCTGCGTTTGGCCTGAGCTCGCTCGCGAGGGTCCTGCGACCGTCCCTCCGTCCGTCTGCCGCCCCCCGGAGGTGACGCTAGCGGACGACGGCCACCGTGCTCGCCGTGCCCCTCTCCAGCCGGACGGCGGCGATGGAGGCGTCGCGTTCGTAACCTCGCGGCGCCGGCGGGCAAGCGCGCCGAATCACGGCCGTCCCACGTTTAGCCACGCGGCCAACGCCAGTCTGAATCGAGTCCACCGATTGGCGCCGGCGAGTGTGGCGCCGGCGGAAAGTGGCAAGGTTCGGCCGCTTCCACCCTTCCGCCATCCTGGGCCTTCGGCCTGCTTAGCGTGTGCGGCGCGCGCAACCCTTTAATCCGCGTTCAGGGACGAGGGCACCTGTGAATTTTCCGTAACTTGCATGCTACCAGAGAGGGATGGCTCTGAATTACGAAGGCCGTGGAGAGAAAGGGAACGTGTTGTTTTTGGCCACGCTCGTTTAACGCTTGGCGAGAGAGAGAGAGGAGTCGGGGTGTCACCTGGTCGCGTAGTCTTCCGTAAAAGTGATTGCGTGCGAGTTGGAGCACTGAGCCGGCACCACCGAGAGCCTGGGTTCGAGTCTGGGTTTCAGGTTTATCAGACTGCATGAAAAATAAACCCACTTTACGTTTGGTTTATCAGATAATTTGGAACAAAGATGCCTTGATTGACATTAGCCGGTGAACTGTGATTCCAGAAGTAGTTCTATTATGTCAACTTTCGCGGACTCTGTTTGACACAGGGTGATGCGCTGCTAGCTCAAAATGTCTTCATTTTATGACGTGATACGGATGGGACAATTGGGGAAAAGACGAGATCGTGAAAGCAACGTTTGAAGCGAGTCGAGTAATGCGCCCCGCTGTGGAGGTGATGTGCGAATGCGGAGGTGATGGCGCTAATGTTCCGTTCCCGTTCCCCTGTGCCCCCCAGCGCGAAGAAACCTCTGTCCAGGGACCCCCTGCTGCTCGGCCACAGCAAGGTATGGCGAGCCGAGTGAGGGCGTGCACACGACGCACTCTACAATACACGCACACACACACATCACTCGCATCACTTACACCATACGCACTACAGCACGTACACACACACAACATACACACCATCAAACATACGCAGCTTCCACATGATACACACGACAATACGCACACACGACTCACACCATTCACACCGCAACGCACACGTGTACACCGTACACACCTCCGCGCGTGCACACACACGCACATCATTCCCGCTGCACGCACGCTGTGAAGGTCGCCCTCCCTCTCCACCTGCGTGACCCTGACTGCGCCGTGCCCCTTCTGTCTGCGTCCGCGTGGCCCGGCCCGCCGGCGCGTCGGTGGCGGCCGTAGTAGTAGCGTCCAGCTGACTCAGCGGCTGCGGCAGGGCAACAGAATCTCGGTGAGCGGGGATCGCCCTGCTGCACATCACCCCGGCGTTCTGGTTCTCTTTAAGCTCTCGCACTTTTAACGGTCGAAAACTGGAATCCGTTAAACGAGGCTTTTGCAACATCTTGAAATTATTTAGCGACCGAGCCGTTAAAGCGGAGGTGAAATCGCAGCGGTGGCTGCGTTTTCGGGGGCGCTTCACGCGGAGGAGGAGGGTGCCCCCGAGGAGTTTTGGCGTCGAGCTCGACCCCGCGGCGAAGTCGCGATGCCACCTCCCGTTGGGATGCCGCCATCCCCGGCGGCACGACGCACGTTTCCCCCCAGCTCCAGAAAATCAGACGCTCAAAATCGCAACCGCCTCGCCCTGCCCCGCTTTAATTCCCTCCGCGGTGGAATTCCCATCTGCCCGACGAGCAACGGCCGAACGCCGCCAACGTGGAAACCATCTGCTAACGGACTAGCCGGGGACGGAGCGCGGTGGTGTGATGTTCGGCCAGGTGGGCTGCGCCGCAGCCGCGTGGGGTGGGTGGGCCGCCCGCCCGCCCACCCGCCCGCCCGCCCGCCGCTCGCTCGCACGGTCAGCGTCGCATTAAAAACATTCCTCGCCTCGTGCGCCTCGCCCCGTTAGTGGTCTCCAAAGTGGCGCAGTAAAGGCCCTCTCCGCCGGCGTGGCCGCATGTGCGGTTCATTTTGCGCGGCCGTACCCGGAGCTTTTTCTTCACACTCCTAATTGAGCCAGAAATTTCAACAAAATGCCGCGTCCCCTGCCACCGCCGTTGGAAAATTAATAGGAAAGTATTTGTTTTTCATTTTTTTATTCGTCTTCTTTACCCGGATGATGTAATGGCCCTGCCTTGAGCTGATTGTGCACTGTGTGTTCTTTGTCAAAGTGTAATTAGAAAATAGCGTTGGTTATTAATCCGCCTCCGCTGGGGATTTACAGCCCCACCCCCCACCTTTCCAAGACACGATTCCAACTGAGAATTATTCCAGATTTTTGTAATCCAATTTTTGTAATATGCAATCAAATTTATGGCACATTTATTTATTTATTGAAACCCATTCACCACCACCCGCCCCCCTACGCCACCCCCCCGCCTGCCCGCCCACCCACGTTACACAATATTACGCATTAGGCGGAGTTGGAAGTTCAGACGCTGCTCTCCCGCCGTGCGACGAACGCTCTCTCCGTTGTCAGGGGGAAGCTTCGAGTGCCCCTCGTTTGATCACAAAGTTCGAGCGGGGATTGAAGCCCGCCAATGAAAGGCGGTTCGCACTGAGGGCCTCTCAGACGACCGGAGCCCGCGGGCGGATCAAAGGCGCCGTTGCGTTAGTGCGCTATCTTGGCGCAAAGTGAGTTTGGGCAAAATGCTAAATTTGGAAAAGGAATAAAAACAAAAGATCTTTTTGCAAATCCTGATGGATGAGTGAAGTGGGCTTTTTGGAATGCTTTAATATTGCGGCGCAGCGGCGCTGCCTATAAAACATCTCGACGCAGGAAAAGCATTCTTGCTCTCCCTCCTCTTCGTCGCTGCTGGTGCATCATTTGTTCCGTCGGTCGAGCCGGGACGAGCTCCGAGCTTTCTGTGGAATCAAAGAGGAGTTCTTCTCCCCGCCCCCCCCCCACTACTCGGCGCAGGAGAGTGTGTTGGCTTAACACAACGGCCAACTTCCGGAAATTCGGCAAAAACTCTGGAGGAGCTCGACCCGAGTTCCCGTGTTTACACGATCCCACGCCTCCGCCTAATCCCCATGAAAGCCTTTTGTTAAAACCCCACCAACCCCACCGCTCCTCCCCCGCCCCACGGTGGGATAACGGGAGACTTCCTACCTGGGAATTAGACGTTCGACGCTGTTGCGTCCAGATGTCCCGGCGGTGTGCGCGCGAAGGGGCCGGTAAGTGTGTTTAGTCTCCGTCACCCCGAAAACGTAAACAGGCGCGGGCGCGAACGGCCCGCGCCTGCGAGCGCGTGTCCGCGCCCGCCCGCCCGCCCGCCTGCCCCTGGTCCCGCTGTTTAGCTTTGGCTTTGGCGCGGCCGGGCGAGGGCGCCGAGCAGGTGTGGCCGGGCCTGTGGGTGGCCGTGTGAGAGGGCCCCGGGAAACCCGCGGACGTGGCGGGGGGGAGGGGGCGGGGGGGTTAAACGCTCGCCGCTCGCTTGTGGATGTGACGGTAAGGGGGGAGCGGGGCGGGGGGCACTTGGGTGTGGGGGGGGGGGCGCGACCCGCGCAGGTTTAGGGGATTTTCTCCGTGGGCTGTAAGTGGAGGAGGGATTAAGGGGCGATGATGCCGCCCGGCTGGAGGGTCACGGCTGTCAAAGTGACCGCTGCAGCTGTGACTTTCTTGACAAATTCCCGCTAAGTGCTGAGATTTCACCGGGGCAGGCACGTGCGTCCCCAACCGGAGGTGCGATGGTCCCGAAGCATTTGGAGACTGGCTGCAATAATAATAATAACTTTGTTATTACAACAATAATGCCTTTTGTTTCCCCATTAGAGGCTCGCTGAGTCTCGAGGCACGCTCTCGCTTGGTCGCACCGTGCACTGGGTGGGTGGGATGTTTGTCCAGTCCCCCTCGTAAGTGTTTGGCTTGTGGGAGGAAATTGGAGTACGCGGTGAAAACCCACCACTCGTACAAGGGATTAACACTCAAAGCTCCGCACAGATAGATCGCTCTTTCGCAAGGAGGGGTGGGGGGGTGGGGAGGGGGGGGCGGGGGGGGGCGCGCATTGGCGCAGCCAGCAGCGTCACCGCTGAGGCTGAACGATGTTGAGTGGGAAGGCGGCAGGGGGGAGGAGCGGCGCTCATCGCGTGCGAATTAGTGGCCCACCTGGCGTGCGGAGTGGAGGGACGCTTGGCCGTGCTCGATGGAACGAGCGAGGAGAGCGCACGCGGGGGCCTCCGACTCTATCAGCCGTCTTAATTACCGAACTTAATTAGCGACGCTCTAAATGATGTTGAAGCGGTCCCCTGCGCGGCGAGTCCGAATTTAATTTGCATGAGGAGGCCGGTGCGGATTTAAAAATAATGTCGTCATTATTAGCGAGTGTCAAGGGGCCAAGACAGGAGCTCTTGCCTCGACTTATGTTCAAAACGGTAATTTTGTTCTCTCCCCCCCTGCACCTCCGCTCTCAACATTAACATGCGCCCTGCGCACGTCGCTCGCTCGGTAGCCACAGCTAAGCGCGGCAGTCTTTTAGGGAAATTGTGTTCGCGCATCGCAAGCAGCTTCCCGACGATTCCCATCACAACCGCTGCCCCCCCGCGCTCCCCTCCGCCGCTCACTCAGACGCTCCGGTTACCGTGGCCGTTGCTGCTGCTCGGCGGGATGAGTCTCATCATCGCGGGTCGCGCTCAGCCTCACCCTAATCTTCCGGGGTCGTTCCGCCCCCCCAACCTACCCCCCCCCCCTCCAGCCGCGTCGTGCCCGGCCGCCCATGACGCCGGTGAAGGCCGAGAGCCCGCCCGGCCTTCACCGTGGCTGCCCTCTTTTCGACCGACGACTTGGTGATTAGGGGGTGCTGTTATCACGATAGTACGTGTGTCCTCTACGCGCGGTGACGCGTGTTCGCGATCGCGCTCCATCTCTCGCCTTGTGCTGCCCGGTGCTGCCAATCAATGGTTGATGACAGCATTGTGCTCAAGCGTTAACCCCGACACACGTGCCATAAATGAATCCACTTCTCATCAGTGACGTTCAGAGTGTGCATGCGTATGCGCGTGTTGGTGCCTGTGCGTGCGGCTTTACAGCGGGCGGTAGCACACGAGGCACAATGCCGCACGACCTGGCCCTTGACTTCTGACCCGCCCAGTGGTCATTCATTCATTGATTTGTCAACTTTATTTAAAAAAGGCCGCAACCTATTGGATATAAAAGTGTCTCTTTTGAGAGGGACCCCTGATAACAAAGTATTACAATGCACATGTAGAGTCAGAGTCCAAGTCGCATCACAAGACTCACGCCCGTGCACGCCTGGACTTCCCCCGTGGTGTCGGCGATGGTGAAGGAGTCGCACCGTTCGGCATTGGTCATCAACGCGCGGAGACCCTCGCGCCGGGCACGGCGCGGCGGTGACGCGCTCACCATCGTGTCCGCTTTGCTGAAGTCCGACGGCTCTCGCTCGTCAGAATGCGTGGCGCCCGGCCTAGACGCTGGCACGGACGCCCCCGGCGCCCACGAGCTCAGGAGGAAGAGCGGTCGGAGATGGACGCTGAACTGAGCGCGTGTCCCCCCCGCAGCTGTCTCCGTGCTCGTCGTCGGACAGGAGGCGAGAGGGGGACATCCCGTCGCTGTCTCCCATCTCGTCCGAGGATCTTCAGCTGTCGGATCGCTACCAGGTGCCCCCCCCACCCCCGCCCCCCGATCGAATCCCCGGAACGGAGACTCACGTTATAGCTGGCTTTCGTAGTCAATCACCACTGCGATGTCGCACGCCGTTATTAATTACGGATGTTTGCAGAGGCGCACGAACAATCGTTTTCATCCTCCGCTCCCTATGCCCCACTCACCCCCCCGAACCTCCCCCCCCCCCCCCCCCCCCCCCCCCCCCCCATAATAATCGCGCGCAAGAACAGCAAAGGGTGGCCGCTTAAACAGGGCCTCGACGCACGGCATCGATCGTTCTCGGCAACGGCAAACAAAACCCACGGAGCTCTGTTATTATTTTTAATTTACCACTTATTGAGAGATGGCGCACCGCTGGGCCGTACGACGCCACCTCCGACTGCGGCCTCAGTCCGCGCGCGCGCATGCAAAACAAATTAATTGAATAAATCGCGTTTCGTAAAAACAACACCAGTTTTATAAACAGCGGCGAACCGTCAAGAGCTTCCTGCGAAACGAGCCGCGCAGTTATTACGATCTCGAAGCGTTGGGCACTGGGTTAATTTTAAACTCCCGGACTTCACGCTGACTCTACGTCCCGCGGCTCGCAAGGGACGTCACTTATTACCGAACAATTATCTCTCCAAACGCGTCTAACGAAGCGGAAATAAATTGCCGGCGCCCTCCCGCCGCTTTCCGCGGTGCCGCGTGAATCGCGATCGCCGCCACCGCCCCTCTGTTCGCTCGCTCGCTCGCTCGCTCGATGAGAATTTGTCAGAAACTTGCGCTGGGAGTAACGCGATTAGGCGCCGTGTCATTAACGAGCACGCGCGGTGGGCGGGACCGGCTCTTGACGCTGCTGCCCTGTGTGCGTGCGTTCTGTCTCCAGACCTTCCTACGCGTCAGATCCAACCGCCAGTCAAGACTCAATGGTGAGCGGCGGCGGCGGCGGCGTCGGCCACAGTTCGTTTTGTTGTTTGTGATCCTCACCCCCGGTCGTGCGATAGATACACACCGTCGAGAGCAGTACGTCGCCCCCTGCGTGAGAAAGGTCCGCTGAAGGAGGTGTCATGGAACTACCCCTGAGGTCCACGGACTAGGGGCTATCCCATGTGCCCTGCTCAGGGAGAAGTAGTTGCGTGAAAATATAATTAGCAGAGCTGTAATTTGGCCTAATTAAGTGAAATATTAAATTGAACACGGGAGGGTTGTTTGTGCAGTCATTGGTGACCTGGCTGAGACCTTTATCTCGCTACAGAACCACACGCAGTTGATCCCACACATGAAACCGAGGATCTCGGCATTGCTGGCTCAGCGTTTCTGAGCCCTAAGTCGCCCGGCCACCTCTGGCGTGTGGGTCCCCGGTGCCGACACGATCAGGGACACCAGTCTCTCTCCGCTGCTACTTTCACGGGCGCTTGTCGCGCGCCGTTCGGGCGCCGCGTCCGACGGTTCGTCGGCGGGAGGGGGGGGGTGCGAAACGTCGGACGTCGCGCCGAAGGACTCGCGGTGCAAAACCCGGATGTCGCGTTCCCTCGCCCCGCTCCCCCGTCGCTGTTGGCGCCCGCACCCGTCGGGCAAGTCCCGGGCATCGCGAGTCCGTCGGAGCGTGCGGCCCGGGTGTAAGCCCTCACACCTGGCACGGCCATTCATCCCGCGAGGCAGCGGCGCGTGCAGCCGCTGGGGCCCGTGCCACCCCTCCCCCGGCCCGGCCCGGCCCACGGTGCCGCTCCGTGGGCGGGGTCCTCTGTTCGCTCGGGACAGGTGGAGGCGTGGAGCGGCGCCTCGCGTGCCCGGCAGCTCGCGAAAAGGCGCCACGGCGCGGCTCCTTTGCGAGCCGCCGGTGCCGAGGGTCCCGCTCGCCGAAGGTCGGCGGCGGCGGAGCCGGCGGCACCCGGCTCGCCGGGGCGTTTTACGGCCGCCCTCATGCCCCATTACCGCCGGCACCGTGACCACGTTAACGAGATGCAGGTCCACATTAAAGTTGCGGCCCTCTTTATACTTTACTTTGACTCGTTTAAAAAATGAAAGTTCCACTGCAGCTGTTGTTGCCCGTCGGTTTACCGTTTCTGGGGCGAGGTAACGACCGCGCCGAATAATCAAAAACCGATTTGGCTGTTGCGTGGACAAAAAACAACAACCTGCTCCTAGGCCGTCAGCTGCAGCCGCCGCCGCAGCAGCAGCCTGGACTCGATTCCTCACAGACGCGCCTCGAATCCCCACGCAGCTGACGCTGAACTCTCCCAGATGTCGATCTGGGCAACGGCACGGGCAGGGAACGGGACGCGCGGAAACCGCGAAAGCACAAAACAAGATCGTCGCAGTTCGCCAAAGCGACCGTTACCTGCCCAATTTAAATACAAAAATAGCAAAAGTTGCTCCCTCTCCCGTGGCCGCCCCCCTCCCCCCCGCCAGCGCGCGACGAACGCACCGAGGAGATCGCGGCGACACCGCGGCACCGACGCGGCACCGACGCTTTTCAACGTCGGTGCCGCGGGGAGCTCCGGAGATGTATCGACGCCGCCTAATGAGCCGCCTTAAACTTTCCGCGGGGCAGGCGCGACGCAGTTCATATTGCCTATTGATCGCGTCGGCGACAGCGCTCCTCACCCCCTGCTGCTCATCATGGGGGGGGGGGGGTGGGGGGGGGGCAATCTGTAGGGAAATAACCGACTTTGAATCATTTATGCGCGGCCCGGGCAGCGACCGGTCACGGCGGCCGTTTGCACCGGCGGTCGCCGACCCCCCCGTGAGGTCGGTGAGGGTTTAATGGCGTGTCGCTCGCTCCCCCCCCCCCACGCCCCGGCTCGTTGAGGTTTTGGCGGTGGCTCACGGGTTCGGCGCAAATGACCGACGAGGGCAAGACTGCCTTCTGCGTCGTTAGTCCCCTAACTAAGCCGAAGCCGCTCGAATAAAAGTGGAGGGCCCCCCCCCACCCAGCATCCCCCCACCCCCCCCCCCCGTCTGGCACCATCGGGCGTGGGGATCACGGGGAGCGGAGAGACCGCGGGTGAGGGGAGGGGCGTGGGGGAAAGGGGCGAGGGACGAGGGGAGGGGCTCACGGTGGCAGCAGCCCAAAGCCGAGTGACACCGCCAGCGTCCCCGTCACTGCCACTGCATTTCCCTTTGTGTGTGTGTGTCTGTGTGTGTGTCTGTATGTTTGTGTGTGTCTGTGTGTGTGTGTGTGTCTGTGTGTGTGTCTGTATGTTTGTGTCTGTATGTTTGTGTGTGTGTGTGTCTGTGTGTGTGTCTGTGTGTGTGTCTGTATGTTTGTGTCTGTGTGTTCGGCCTTCATAGGGGCTCGCTAACGGCACTTGCCTCAAAAGTCTGTTAAGGCTGTTAAGGCTATGCGGGGGATCTTTGCCTTTGTGTGTGTGTGTGTGTTTGCATGCGCGCACGCCTGAATACGTAACCACGTGCGATCATTATACCTTGGGAAAGTAGTATTTGTGTAAACACCACAAACCGCCTTGCGCTCTGTCTCATGCTTCCGTGCCTACTCATTACCTCTCGCATTTCCAAGGGACGCCGCTTGGCTTGCGCGGGCAAGCGCCGTCGGCCGGTCGCTTGAGACGCCAAGTAACTCTGCCGCTCTCCGTGTCGCCCCCAGCTCGCATCGGGAAGAACAAGAGGAAGAAGCCGTTGGAGGAAGGGCAGGTACGGCGAGTGGGGGAGGTGGGGGCCACGGTGTTGGGGGGGGGGGGTAGTGGGGGGGGGCATGGTGGTGGGTGGGGGGCTGGCCGAGGTCTCGCTTGGAGCCCTGCAGGCGGTGCCGACTGACGCGGGGTTACAGAGAACGTGCGCCTCTGTGTGTGTGGGGTGCGGTGGTGTAGTGGTTAGCGCACTGTGTGTGTGTCTGTGGGGAGTGGTAGTGTAGTGGTTAGTGCACTGTGTGTGTGTCTGTGGGGAGTGGTAGTGTAGTGGTTAGTGCACTGTGTGTGTGTCTGTGGGGAGTGGTAGTGTACTGGTTAGTGCACTGTGTGTGTGTGTGGGGTGCGGTGGTGTAGTGGTTAGCGCACTGTGTGTGTCTGTGGAGTGCGGTGGTGTAGTGGTTAGCGCACTGTGTGTGTGTCTGTGGGGAGCGGTAGTGTAGTGGTTAGCGCACTGTGTGTGTGTGTGTGTGGGGTGCGGTGGTGTAGTGGTTAGCGCACTGTGTGTGTGTGTGGGGAGTGGTAGTGTAGTGGTTAGCGCACTGTGTGTGTGTGGGAAGCAGTGGTGTAGTGGTTAGCGCACTGTGTGTGTGTGTGGGGTGCGGTGATGTAGTGGTTAGCGCACTGTGTATGTGTGTGTCTGTGGGGAGCGGTAGTGTAGTGGTTAGCGCACTGTGTGTGTGTGTGTGGGGTGCGGTGGTGTAGTGGTTAGCGCACTGTGTGTGTGTCTGTGGGGAGTGGTAGTGTAGTGGTTAGCGCACTATGTGTGTGTCTGTGGGGAGTGGTAGTGTAGTGGTTAGCGCACTGTGTGTGTGTGTGGGGAGCGGTGGTGTAGTGGTTAGCGCAATGTGTGTGTGTCTGTGGGGAGCGGTGGTGCAGTGGTTAGCGCACTGTGTGTGTGTCTCTGGGGAGCGGTGGTGTAGTGGTTAGCACACTGTGTGTGTGTGGGGAGCGGTGGTGTAATGGTTAGTGCACTGTGTGTGTGTATCTGGGGAGCGGTGGTGTAGTGGTTAGTGCACTGTGTGTGTGTCTGTGGGGAGCGGTGGTGCAGTGGTTAGCGCACTGCGCTGCGAACCGAGCAGAGACCCGGGTTCCATCTCCGCTCACGACCAATGAGAGTGCCGAATATTTGAACCGGTCCATGGGCTTCCCCAAAGTGCAGCGTGCAAGCATTAGCACAGGGGAGACAAAGGTGGCCGTGCGTGGTGCTGGCCATCCACCCCGCTCGCGTGCCGCATGCACGCCTTCGTCGCTGCTCGTTAACAGCATGTGCACCAAGAGGTGGTTAAGGATGAATTGGAGATCTTCGTGCGCGCGTGCCTACGTGGCTGTGCGTGTGCCCACGGCAAAGCACTGGGCGCAGCACCCAGTAGCCCCGAGCAGCGGCATGAGAGGCCGCTCGACTTTAGCCTGACCCCGTGCGTCACCGTTTTCTGGCTCTGTGCCGGCATTAACGCGAACTCCGTTTGTGTCCGGGCTGCCGGCTACGCTGTCACCGCCGCCGCCGCCGCCGCCGCTGCCGGAGCAGTACGATGGCTCGTTCGCCAACGAGGACGAGGACATGGAGACGGAGGGCGAGCGGAGGGTGGGAGGAGGCCACCATCGTTACGACGAGTTCGAGTGGTGCCGGCCCCCGCGGCTGCCCGCGCCGCCACTGCTCGACGGCGCCGCCAAAGGTGAGCACGGTGTGCGGCGCTCGCGCACGGTGCTTGTGCCAGGCTAGGTGCACCTTGAGGCCACGTGAAGCGTCGGAGGTTCGCTGGCAGGAGGTCACGGGACAGGCCCAGGTGTTACGGGTTGACGGGCCCGAGATGACTGACAGACGCGCCAGCTGCGCTCCACGCTACTGTGCCACCCCGCTGTATTTTAGCCGCCCGGCGCTCCGCTCGTTGTTGTGAGCGCCACTCCTCCGCCCGGTAGCGCTCGCTCGCTCGCTCGCTCGCTCACTCGGCGTCACAAACGCCGCGGCCACCGCGAGGGCAATAACCGTAATGTGCACCCTCTCCGTCTTGCGCGTCCTAATTACAGTGGCAGGATTTCGTGCCGTTTCATTTAGGCCGCTCATCAAATATTTAAGCGCGTGTCACTTATTGTCAATTCCTGCTCCACCACGGCTGTCGCCCGAGGGGTATCGGTGGAGGTGGGGGAGGAGGGCGTGGGGCGGGGGGCGGGGGGTGTGGCTCTGTCAGCAGCCTCGACCCCCACCCCCTCCCCCTCGGTGTCCCCCCGTTGGACTCCTGAAGGCAGTGCCCCCTCCGTGGAGACTGCACGGAGGGGGGTGTCGGGTTGGGGTGAGCGACACCTATTGGGGGGGGGGCCGTGCCCCCCCTCCCCCAATTTCTCCCCCTCCCCCCCCCCCCCCCCCGAGCCTCCCTCTCCGGGCCTCGCCGTCTTGGGAGCCTCTGCCCAGCGAGCAGCGTTAATTGGCCGCGATTAATTACCCGCAGAGGCGTTAATTGACCGATTGGTAATTAATTGATAGACTTTTATTTGACCAGGTGGGATTCCCGGCGAGGCTTCTGTCGCCTCTTACGCGACAGCAGACCTGGCACAAAGCAAGTGACAGCCGATAACAGTGCAGCGCAGAGCCTCGTGCCCGGAGCTGTCAATCGTCCAGCGGAGCGAAACGCTCGCGTCCCGAGCGCAGGTCTCGGACGCGCGGCCGCCTCGAGTCTCGTCTCGCTCGTGCTGCCACGATAGCCATCGTGTCTCAGGGGGAAGCCGAGACGCAGCGTGATGCAATCTCCTCGAGAGCACGTCATCGCCTGGACATCTGTGAAAAAAGAGCTTTGTAGCTCAACGGATTCCTCCAGTGCTAATCAATATTCTGATTCTGCGTACGACGGCGTCATCGCCTGCCGTGTTTGAGTGCTCCGAGTTCTCCACTCGGGCCGCTCCCAGGGCGATGCCCCTCCTCCCGAGTCGTTTATGCCCCGGGTAATTTCCACGAGACGCGTTCACATTGGAAGCCCTGGACATTTCGAGTGAAGGCTCTCGAGTTTTCCTCCGCTTGTTGCCTAGAGTTTGCTGCATTTTGCCAACCACTTCCTGACTATCGACTCGAACTCGGAGGGTTTGTACGGTCGTAAAAACACCATTAATTAATCATGGTGAAATATTTCCACCGTTTGTTTTTACCTCGGTCAAAGGTTAGAGGTTGTTTAAAGGTCATCTTAATAAAGGTACGTCCCTGGTTTCTTCCAGTCGTAATGAGGCTGTTGACCGCCGGACACGAAACTCTCCTCTCACAGTAATTTATCCTGACACCGCACAGTTCCCATAACCGTAGAACCACCAGGAGCAACTCCACTCCACTACGCTAACTTTTACCATTACACCTTACCGGGAATGCCTGTAGCATTCGTAGTTGTGCATTCAAATTAAGAGCTCCGGTAGCGGGTAAGGGCGGGCGATGGGGGGGGAGAGGGATTTCTTGCCGTGTAATTTGCCGGCTGCCTTCCCGCGGCTCGACGCGCCAACGTCGGGGATAATCGCAAAGTTTGGCGGCGAGCGCCGCCGACACGGCCGCCGACACGGCCGCTCTCGGCCGCGCTCGGCGAAAGGGGATTACGAGGCAGCGCGGGCGCTCGGCCGAGTTCAGTGCCCGGGGTCCGCGGTTGTAAATAGCGAGGCCCCGGGTCACCGCGCGGCGGGTGTCACCGCTATCGGCGCACTTACACACGCTCGCACGCACGTGCGCGCCTCCCTGCCCCCCCCCCCCGGCTCCCTTGCCCGCCCGCCCACTCACGAGTCTTCGCGAGTCCCCACTCCGCGAGCGGCGGCATCGATTTGTCGTGGGAGGGCGCGGGGCGTGAGCGCGCACACAACACGCTCGCCAGCACCGTCGCCGCCGCCGCCGCCACCGCCGCCTTCGCTCACTCTTGCCCCCCGCTCGCTCGCTCGCTCGCTCACTCGCTCCCCGGGCGGTGATTGAAAGGCATTTAAAGCGCTGCTGACCTTTTCCTGTGGGGATTGGATTACCTGTCAGCTCCTCTTTAGGCGGAGCGGTGGACGTGGCTTAGAGTGGGGCTGACAGCAAGGTGAAAGCCACCGCTCTGGGCCTCCTTATTTATTTATTTGCGCCACGATTTTCGGTGCAAGGGCGATGCGCGGACACCAGATTTAATTTTACTTAATTCCGTTTTTTTTTTTACTTACTAATGTGGCCTAAGTCCCGTGCGAAAGGGCGCGTCGCAGGCAAGCGCCCGCGAATGGCGATTCGCGGGCGGATCCCAATATTCCGCGAAGATGTTAAATGTGTCTCGAGTCGCGGCGTGTTTGTATAGACTTATTTCATCACGAGTCGGGAGAATGATTAGATTACAGTCGGAACAATCTCCGTCGTGCCGCCAGTGCAGACGGCAATTTGTCTAAAACACGGCCACCCTCCAAATATGATTGCCGCTCAGCAGGTCACTTACGGCATAAATACTCCCCCGAGTGACACGTTTAGCATTTACACGATTTCCGTTTAATGCCCCGAGTCACGTGCCGCTCATGATTACCGATGGCGGTGTTTTGAGAGCGCGCCGCGTCTCCCGCCCGGGCGCTAAATCCCCACTGTGGCCGTGCCGGGGCGGAGGGGAGAAAAGAGAAAGAGAAAAAAACCGCATGAAAATCTCCCCTTGCGGTTTTGCTGCCGCCGCCCCGGCAAGGCTGGGATCCGCGCGGCACGCTCGGCAGAATCCGCGTCTGCCCGGCCGCGTCCTTGCCGTCGCGGGGGGGGAAAGTGTTATTTTCGCCACCCGCGCGATCGATGCAAAGTCACCTCCCAACATCACGCGCGGTGCGCTAACAGCCTCGTGATCCATGAACGCTTTGGGGCAGCGGCGGTCGAAAAGCCGTTGATGCATTGATCAAATTAGCAGCGATTCGGGCCGGGAAGGAGCGGTTTTCGGCAGGCCCTCTTGACCGGGCAGTGCCGCACACCGCTCCCCCCGCCCCCCCCCGCCTCCCCGCCCCGGGCCGTCCCATTTAAATACGACCGTGAATTAATGTCGCCGTTTGTCAGGTAGGCCGCGGGGCCCAGGGGCGTGTGTGATTGGACCTCGGGCCACAACGAGGGGTGTGATCCCTCACCATAATGGTCCGAGATGGAGCTCGTCCACCCGCCTGCTCGTCCGCTCGCTCAAGGAACAAGCGTGTGCTTGCGGCCCACTCCGCTGTCAATCTGTCGGCCCCCGCGCGGTCCCGTCGCCGGGGCCCAGCCGCCTCGCGGAGTTGCACCTGACGATTTGTGTCTCGTGTAATATGCGTCTGTCTTTGTCTGTGTGTGTGTGTGTCTTTCTTTGTCTTTGTGCGTGCGTGTGTGTCTGTGCGTGCTCGTTAACAGCACTTGCCCCAACAGTCTGTTAAGGCTACACGGAGGGGTCTTATGTCCGTGTGTGTACGTGTGTGTGTGTGCGCGTTTGTGTCCGTGTATGTGTACGTGCATGCGTGCGTGTGTGTTTGGCACGCTGTGAAATGTTGTTATTTTGCTGAACGGGGTGGGGGGTGCGTGGAGGAGGTACAGACGTATGGTACGCAGCGGATTAAGGGAAGTTAAATATTTTAGTTTTGCATGACGCTATGGTGTTCACCATATGGTCGTATGATGGGGTCGCTCCCTTGTTTGTTTCTCAGTGTGTATGTGCACGTGTGCGGACGCACATATGACGTGTGTGTGTGTGTGTACGAATGGTGGTAGAGTGGTTCACACACTGCACTATAAACCTGGCAACTTGAGTTTGATTGCCGGTGATGGGACACAGCAGTGACAAGTGCCACCTGGGCCTTTCCTGGACCCTTGCTTTAACGTCGACTCGGCCTTAAATGGCCACCCAGATGCAGTGTGTAGAAAAATATCGGCATTGGGGAGACAAAGGCGGCCGGCCCGTGGTTCTGGCCAGTCCACCCCCCCCCTTGCGCACTGCGCCGGTCTTCGCAGGCGCTCGCACTTGCCCCAAAAGTCTGTGTCTGAGGCTACCTGGGGTGCATTTGTCTTGGCAGGCGCTCACCCGATGCTGGCGCTGTCCGCGCTGCACGGCACTCGCCTCGACGGCCACGACAGCGACGCGGACCTGGACGTGGACGGGGACGACACGCTGGACTACGGCAAGCCACAGTATCCTCCACCCCCCTCCGCTGACGGCGCACCCCCACTAGCACCAGCAGCAGCACCACCGCCGCCACCACCAGCATCAACAGCAGCGCCGCCAGCACTACCTGCACCAGCACACCCTCCAACACCACCCCCACCGCCGCCAGCACCGCCACCAATGCCACAATCATCAACACCACCAGCAGTACCACCGCGAGCACCACCAGCACCAGCACTACCAGGCCCTGCAGAGTTCGGTGGGGAAGAAGCCAGTGTTTGGCGAGGCTTCCTTGACAACGCGACGCTCCAGGTACTCGGAATCGGACATCATCCCGTGCAGCACGGGAGACAGAAGCGGGGAGCAGCTGGCGCGCGAGAGCCCTCGCCCCGCCGGTGCCAGGTGAGCGGCGCGCCGCCGGCGTCATTCCCAAGTCATCCCGCGCAGGCCGGCACGCGCTCCCTCTATGTCATCCTTAAGCTTAGATACATATGTCTGTACGTTAGATAAATTGCATCGTGTGGTACAATAGGAAATGCCTGCTCAGCAAGAAGTATCGATAAACTCTTTTCGGTATTTTATTTTCGAACAATTAGTAGCACGCTGAGATTAGAGGTCTCCTCTTGGCAAGGGGGTATCTGGGACGCGGCGTGGGTTGCAGCGTGTGACGCGGGGCGGTCCGAACGCTCAGCGGTGCGGACGAGAGGAGTCTCCGTGGCCACGCGGGGGGCGGTGACTTTGGGCGACTTTGAGACAGCCTGTCGAAGCGCGGCGTCTTTCTCCGCGACGGCCTACGCTCTCGTCAATTTGTGGCTCTATTGCCTTCCGACACCAGTTAAATTTGAATATTAAATGAGTTGGTGCGGGCGGGCGGAGTGGGGGGGGGGTGGTGTTTCGGAAATTGCTGCTCATCAAAAATCCGAGCGGCCTCTTGAAATTTAATTTAAAAGTGTGCCCGAATGAGCGCTCCATTCAGAGGGAGGGTTTCCACTTGGCCCATGCGGTTCGGTGGTAAATCCCGCCGTTAAATAAAGTAACGCGGAACATAAAAGTTTTAAATCGCAAAACGACTCGGCCTAAGGCTCTGCTCGAGGCTCGTCTCCGCGTCTGCGAGAGAGACGCGGGCCCCCCCCCCCCCCCCCCGCCCACCACCCACGTGCGGCGCGCTCCGCGCTTCTCCGAGCGTCCCGGACCCGTCGCCGCTCGCGCTCCGCGTTGTTGACGGGGGCCGCGGAGCGGCGGCAATGCGGGCGCGACACCGCAGCGCCGCCCCCGCCGGCACCCGCATCGCCGGCCGACCGTGCCGTGGGAGCTGTCTCCCGGCTGCGGCCGACCGGCCGGCCGGCCGTCATGCGTGTCCTCGGCAGGTGTTAATGCGTCCCGGCGGCGGCGACGGCGAGCACGGGACGGCGCTAAACGAGTTGCCCGTCCTGCGGGTGATTGCGCGCGAGGGGTGGGGGGGGCGATGGGGGGGGGGGGGGGGCGCGCGAGCCCGCGGGCGATCAAGGGGCCCGCCGAAAGTCGCCGACGAAACTCGACCCCGCGGTCCAATTCCAGGGCGAATTTGATATAAAAACAAGCGGCGGAGGAACTCTGTTTACGGCACGCGCCGACAGCTCTGAACAATGGCGGCCCTGATGCGAGCCGCCGGGCCGCGCCGCGCGCGTGAGTGACGGGCCGCGATCGCGGCGGCGGCGGCGGCGGCGGCGCAAGGCGGGCGGCCGCACCTGTAGCGCCGTCCGTCTCGGCCACGTGCACTCGACACCTGCGTTTCCGTACGCGCCCGCAGAGCCCGGCGTTATCCCCCCTTCCCCTCCCCCCCTTGCCGTGACTCACGCGCGCTCGTCTCCCCACAGTGCGGACGGCTCGCCCGCTCCCTCCGCACGCCCCGGCTCCGAGGCCGCTACGTGGCCCAGCGACGGTACGGAATGCTCCGTCTCACCTCCGTCTCACCTCCGTCTCACCTCCGTCTCACCTCCGTCTCACCTCCGTCTCACCTGCACCACCAGCCAACACCTCGGGCTCCCCCCAACCCCCCCACCATCCCATCGTCGCAACCTGAAATCCAGCGCCGTTTATCGGCACTCACAAACATTATTTTCCGACTCGTTCATTCATTGTCTCAGCCCACCACGCAACTCTAACATATGTATAACAATTAAAAACACATGTACCACATTCATCATGAATAATGCTTTTGGACAGTGATCAGTGTGTGCGCTATGGAGGAGATCAAGCAGTGAGGAGTGCGATCTCTGCTCTGAGATAGGGCTCAACCTGTGACATTCCCTGCCGCTGTTAGGCCCGGATAACGATGAACCTGGGAAGCGGGTGAAATTCAAGCTTGCGCGCTACTGCCAACAATGGCCCCTCGCTGTTTAGTTTACCGAGGATGCAATTAAGGGAGCCTCGCGCAGTGAACGTGTCTTTAACCTGTGATGCGGCCTGGCAGCACTCGTTGGGAGCTTGTGGTCCCCCACTCGGGCCAGGAGCATTCAGGAAATTACAGTTTGTACGTTGAACTTCTTTCGCACCGTACGAAGCCAACCGTGCTAATCGGAGGTGCGGGGAGGTGGGGGGGGGGGTGGAAGGACAATAAACCAGATGCATCAACAAGCAGTTTTGAAGAAATTAGTTTTCAATCTCGATTTAAAAGTGCACGGCTCCAGCGGTTTGGCTCTGCTCTGCCGCCAGCGGCCCCGGGGCGGCCTCGCGGATTAACCCCCGCGGCCTCGTCCTTCTGCGTGACCGCAGAGACCCCGTCCACGAGCGCCGGCGAGGGAGACGGCGCCACCGCCGCCGCGCAGGATCAGCACAAGTCGGCGGAGGGGGACGGTGACAAGTAAGCGAAGCGGCTCGTCGGACGCGGGGAGGGGAGGGAGAGGGGGGGGGAGCGGCGTGACGGCGAGAGATGCTTCGGAGGGGGACGGGGACGGGGTGGCCCCTCCGCTGACGGAGAGTGACGGGCGGAGAGCCACGGTGTGAGATGCAGCTGAGCTAGAGAGGAGGTGTCGCGACGTGATATCGGGTTCCTCCAGTCTAAATAAATATTCTGATTCTGAAGTCGTGGCCGTCGCCCGATGTCGCGAGCGGAAAGAGCTCTGGAATTGTAACCGGTGCGCGATTCCGCTGTTCAGTTCGCTCCCGCGACCAAACCGCTCCCTGCATGTGCCCAGTCTGGTCGGATTTTGGAAGCTGAGCAGGATTTTAACCTGGTTAGCGCTTGGATGGGATACCGCTTGGAAATAATAGGAATTGTAGGCTGGGGGATGCGAGGTGGACAGGACACGGCGTTACAGCAAGATATACTTTAATACACCCGTGCGGGGTTATGAGAGCTATCCCCAGGATGCTTGGTGGTTTTTCCACTCATTAATGGAATTGGCCAAACATCCAATGTCCTAAACAGAGGCCCTGAATCTCGGCGCAGCCTTGCTGCATAAATGCACGCCATTACTATTATATTACTATTATTATCTGTGTGTATTGAATTGCTTTCATTTCGCTTAGATCTTTCAACTTTAATTTCGGTTCCTAAATGCGTCCTTGTGTCCGCGTAGCAGGTCAGTTGCTGACCCGGCGAATGAAACTCATCCCGGTCTCTTGAGTTCTTACCGAGTTAAACAAATAAACTTGACTTGCCCTTTCCGGGCGTGTCGGTGGCGTCGCGTAGCCCCCTTCCGCTGGAGTGCGCGACCCTGGGGGAGGGCAGGGGAGGTCAGTCTGGCAGCTGGGCCCTGAGCCCATGGCCATCGTCACCACCGGCACATGATTTGGCCCGTGGCCTCTATCCCTGGCCGGCGCAATTAGACGGGAACCGTGATCGTGCGGAGAGAGCGCGTGTGGAGGGGTTTCAAGATTTACCTAATTGTTGCTCATTAGCGGTAATCAAGCAGCGCGTGTGAGTGCCGTGCACATTACCGGGAAGCCGTGCCAGTACCGATCGCGACGAGCGACGCGCGGCTCAGCGGCGCAGAATAACGAAACATTAAACATCTGAAATTAGGGAAATCCAGTTACGTTCTGTTTATTTTTTCGTACAAAAAAAAAAACCCCATTGTAATTATTCACAGGCCGCTTTCCATACAGCTGCGGAGTCGAGGGGATTATTTAGATTTTGTTGTTGTTGTAATTTAATTATTTGTTTGTAATATTTAATTTAACTTGCATAAGCTGTTTGTCACTGCTTGATGAACGGCGGCTGCGGCGGTGGCTTTATTAAAGTGCAGGCTTCCGCTCGCGCTGACAGCCCTACGTCGGGCCAGCGAGGTGACTGATTTATTAAGAACCACGCGCAGCCTCCTCCTGCTGCTCCTCCGCAGGACTCTTTGCACCGCGCGGCCGCGTGATGTATCGCGCCGTGAAATGTTACGCAGCGCGTATAAATCAATTTTGATAAATTCCGTCTGCCTCCGAACCCGACCTGTCTTTTAAAAACTCAGTCGCGCTAAAGAAAAGGACTGTTACTCATCGCGAGGTGTCATTTTTCAAAAAGGGATATCTCGCCGAAAAGTCGGGGGCTTTGATTCCTTGAACCACTCGAGCGCGGCGCTGTAAAGTAAAAACAACAAAAGCCGTGACCGGTAAAGCATCGCGGCGCCGTGTTTTGGAACGTCCCGGCGTGATGGAGGTGAGGCCTTGATGGAGGCGGCGCCGTCTGTTGTTTGTTAGGACGTACGAAACATTTTTTTTTCGTGAAATTTCCGGAAATGTAGTTGGAAGTAAAGAGAGTGGGAGAACAGGCATCCGCCATAGTTAGCCGCCCCCCATTAGCACTCGGGAGCCACGGGACTGCCGGGGAAGCGTTGCCAGGCCCATCCTGGCGAAGGTGCCGACCTCGTCAACTCCAGCCGGCAGCGTTCTCGCTCAGCTACGAGAGTCCGTGGCAGAGCTGTGGTGACTGCGATTCAGAGACGGTGGCAGGGGGCGGAGGAGCGGTGGTGTAGTGGTTCACGCACAGTGCTAAGAACCTGGCCACCCTGGTTCGATTCCCAGCCTGGACCCCTGCCCCCCTCCTGTTCAACTACACTGACCCACACTGAACAAAGTGGTGAAGTTCGGTCAAATAATGCCCACGCCGCACACAACAAGCCCCTCAACCTGTGGCGGATGGACAAGGCTGCCGTACGGCAGATGAACAATATTCGCCGGCGAATCGATGCATCGTCACGCGCCGGGGCGGGGAGCGAGCGCGGCGGTCACGTGGGGAGGCCCGGCGGCCTCTCGGTACGGGGGCGGGCACCGGCGGCACGATCGCCGAGTCCTCGCCGGGGCCGGTCTCTCCGCCGAGAGCGACCGTGTCTGAGCGTCTCTCCGCCGACCCCCCCCCCCCACCCTCTTGACCACCACCACCCCCCCACCCCCCCACTCTCAGGACGGGTCGCGGCGGCGGTGACGAAGTGTCGGGGGCCGTCGTGGCCGCCCTGAAAACTCGCATCCACGACCTGGAGCGGCAGGTGAAGCGAGGAGACAAACACAAGTGTCTTATCTGCATGGTGAGTTCCACCGTCGCGCTCCGCCACTCCGCATGCCACCCCCCGCAGCCCATCGGGAGCCTTCCCAGATTTATCGATGCCTCGGCGTATACGGCGCTCTATTGAACACAAATCATTATCGTGATTATGCTCTCCGGACGAGTCCTCTATGTCTCTCTCTCTCTGCGTGTCTCTCTCTGCGTGTCTCTCTCTCCGCATGTCTCTCCCTCTGCGTGTCTCTCTCTCTGCGTGTGTCTCTCTCTCTGCGCTGTCTCCCTCTCTCCGCGTCTCTCTCTCTCTCTCTCCGCGTGTCTCTCTGCGTGTCTCTCTCTCTCTCCGCGTGTCTCTTTCTCTCCGCGTGTCTCTCTGCGCGTGTCTCTCTCTTTCTCTCCGCGTGTCTCTCTCTCTGCGTCTCTCTCTCTGCGCGCGTCTCTCTCTCTGCGTGTCTCTCTCCGCGGCGGGCCGTGCGCGTGCCGCACTGACGACGGGGCTCGTGTGCCTTGCAGGACTCGTACACGCTGCCGCTCACCTCCATCCAGTGCTGGCACGTCCACTGCGAGGAATGCTGGCTCCGCACCCTGGTAATTGATTCATTACAGCAGCTCGCCCCCGAAACCCCACGCTACACAAACAACATCGAAATCACAAACGCGCACTCCACGCCGCCGCCGCTCGCTGACGGGAAACCAGAGTCAAGCCAGCGCAAAAATGCAGAACCGGTGGCAACTCCAATTATGTTAATTCGTTTATAAAGTTTTTTTTTTTTTTTAAAGCTCGGCGCTCGGTTCAATAGGCTACGGGCGCGCGCTTGTTGCCGTGCGGTGAAAATGAACCGCTGGCTTGTCAGCCGGTGATCCCTGGGCGGGCGTGCGGGCGTTGCGGGGTTTGTTTACCCTCAGCAGATACCGGAGCAGAACGGTCGTGGTGGAGATTACCGCCGTGTTGTGATTCACAACCGAGCGCCGCGTCGCCAGATTCTCCGTCCCTCCGCCACCGCGACCGCCGGGCAATCAATCGCGTGAACAAACACTGTGGGTGGGTGGGTGGTCGGGAGGGTGGTCGGGTTGGGTCAGGGGTCAGAGCGCGGAACCGCCACCGCCGAGACGCTGGGTTCGAATCCGAGTTTCAGCAGCTCGTGATTAAAGCATGTTTTTATCTATTATTATTATTGTTGTAACACTTGTTTACCAAGGAAAGCCTCACCGATTCTCATGACCTCCATTTCAGTGGGGGGGGGGCACCGATTGTCGCGTGTATTCCATTGAGTCATTTGCGGGTGAATATTACATTTTTGCAGGTTTTCCCAAGCCAAGTGAGTTTATGATCTCAGCCTGGCCACCAACGACTGCAAAAAAAATATATATTATTTGTTCTTAACTTAATGCTGCTACAATGCCAGCTCTCAGAATTAAAAGGACAAACGTGGCTGAAGGGAACTCACGAGTAGGTGTGTGATATCACCTTCTGCAGGCCATTCTCTCTCTAACACAAGGTGATGCACTGCTCACTTCGAAGGTTACAAATAGAGATCATGATGTGATGCTATTGGCGCGAGTGTGGCGTTGGTTTGGCGCGAGTGACCGGCCACACCGAGAGGAAAGGGGTGTCCGGTTTTCTGGGGGCGTTGGTGAGAGCACGACGCATCTCGGGCTCATGGTGCACGTGCCACAGTTGTTACGTGCAAGACAATTTATCCAAGTTATACGCAATTATTGAATGGACACTAATGGAGCGAATACAGCCGCGTGTAAAATAACGCCGAACGAATTACGAGACCGTTCAAACGGAACGGTATTAAGCGCTGCATAAACAGGAATCGGTTCAAATGGCATCCTCAAATTCTGGCGATGTGGGGAGTCGCTGTGGGGGGTTGGGGGGGGAGGCCAACAGCCTCCAGCGCGGAAGGACCCTCGCCTACATCTTCCGTGCGGCCGTGAGCCGCGAGTCTCCCCGTACAGCCACCGGCCCCGCCCCCCCCCGCCGCGCACTTTCAACTTGAGCGCGACTCGTTCAGCTGTTAGCCCGGTATTGTCGCACGCGGCGGCCGGCTTTGGTAACGACCCTGGGACACCGTGACGAGTCGCTCGGCAGCGCGGCGCCGCTCCCCTCGCTCGGCCGCCCCCGTCGCTCGTCGTCCAATTTACCCCGCAAAGGAAAAGCGCGCAAAACATAAACGAGGGAGGGCCCTCCTCTCACTGCCGTTGCGGCGCGTCTTCTCGTTTTTTTTCTCCCGATCGTTCCAGGGCGCGAAGAAGCTGTGTCCCCAGTGCAACACCATCACCTCCCCCGGAGACCTCCGACGCGTGTTCCTGTAGTGGCGGGGCCGGGCCGGGCCCCCCCCCAACTCCCCCCCGCCGCCGCCGCCGCCGCCGCCGCCGGCTCCCGTCCGGAGCGACGGGGACACTTCCGCCGAAATGTCACGCGCCTCGGCGCCGATCGGTGAGCGTCGGCGCTGACGCCGCGAAAAGGGACCAGTGGTGTGAGCGATGGCAGCGGAGGAGGAGGAGGAGGAGTCGCGTTTTTCCGTGCGTGTCGTTTCCCCCCCCCCCCCGTTTGCGTTTTTCGTGTGTTGGGGGTGGGGGGGGGGGGGCTTCCCTGTTCAAGCGCCCGCTTTGACACGTGGCACGTAGAACGCAGGCCCCGTCCGCTGAGGCCACGGCGGCACGGGTGGTGGGTGTTTTATTTGGGGGGGGGGGGGGGGCGGGGGCGGGCGAGCGAAGGGGGTTGTGGCCCCCCTTCTCTCGCAGTCCCCGCCAATGACAAAGATGCTGCTGCTGCTGCTGCTATCGCCGCCTCTCGGTTCCTGCAAAGTTTTAGTTTTTACAGTTCTCACTTTCCCCCCCTGTCGTCCCCGTTAAACGTGACGACGGCGGCGGCGGCGGCGGCACGCACAGCTGCACGGGCGCCGGAAACTTCTCAGTAACGGAGCGTATATTTCTTGCCGCTTATTTAAATAAATAAAGACAACAAAACAAACGCTAAAATAATAATAATAATAATGATGACTAGGAATCTGCTGCCAATTCATTGGCTTGTTATTTAAATGTCACGTCCAAAAGGTTATTTTTTTCTTTCTCCGAACAGAAGTGTATTAAAATCGGGCCAAAACTGTACGCATAGGCTGCCCGTTTAGCTTTCTTCCGGAAGATATTTTGTCGTTCATGTAAAGTGATGTCGTGATGTTGTACAGAGGAAATTCTATAAAACGGGCGAAGCACCGCCCGCGCGTGAACCCGCGGACACGGGGGGGCGAGGCGCGAGGCCTCTCCCCGTAACCGCGCCCCCCCCCCCCCGCCGCAAACGCACACTCGGGACACGGAGGAAATCGCGGAGACGGAGCGACCGCGGAACGGCCAACCGACGCGCGACGGCGTGCGCCCGCCTAACGGCCGGCGTCTACCGCTGTCGCCATCTCCGCGAGCAGCGGGGGGCCGCTGCCGTCGTGGGGGAGGGGGGGGGGGGCGGGGGTGGCTCGTGCGCGGGTCCCGCATCTCGCACGCGCGCAACTCGCGCGCAACTCGCGCGCAACTCGCGCGCAACTCGCGCGCAACTCGCGCGCAACTCGCACTCGCGTGCGATTCGCAGCAACGTTTTAAAAGCACAACCGCAACGAGGAGGCCACGTGCTCTCTCTCTCTCTCACCGGTCTCGTGGCGTGACGAACGCCGGTGCCGTTGCAGCGCCGGCGCGATCCCGGTGTCGTCGCCACCACCCCCCCCCCCCCCCGCTGACATTCTCCACCGCTCGCCAATGGACGCAAATCCCTGCCGCTCGCCCAAAACGCCCCCACCGGGAAGAGTTTCGGACGAAATGAGTTGTTCCTTGCAAGTCCCAGTCTCCTGACCTGTCTGAACGATCCAGACCAATCGGTGTGTGCACTGAGTGTGCGTGTGTACAGTGTGTGCTGTGTGATGCTGTGTCTCTGTGTGTGGCGCGTGCCATGTGCGATTCTGTGTGTGCAATCTTGTGTGTGTGTGATGCCGTGCGTGTGTGATGCTGTGTGTGTGTGTGATGCTGTGTGTGTGCTGCTGTGTGTGTGCTGTTGTGTGTGTGCTGTGTGTTTGATACTGTGTGATGCTGTGTGTGTGCTGTGTGTGTGTGTGCTGCTGTGTGTTTGTGTGATGCTCTGCGTGTGCTGCTGTGTGTGTGTGCTGCTGTGTGTGTGTGCTGCTGTGTGTGTGTGCTGCTGTGTGTGTGATGCTGTGTGTGTATGTGATGCTGTGTGTGTGCTGTGTGTGTGATGTTGCGTGTGTTTGTGTGATGCTCTGCGTGTGCTGCTGTGTGTGTGTGCTGCTGTGTGTGTGTGCTGCTGTGTGTGTGTGCTGCTGTGTGTGTGTGTGATGCTGTGTGTGTGTGATGCTGTGTGTGTGCGTGATGCTGTGTGTGTGCTGCTGTGTGTGTGTGCTGCTGTGTGTGATGCTCTGCGTGTGCTGCTGTGTGTGTGTGTGATGCTGTGTGTGTGTGTGATGCTGTGTGTGCTGCTGTGTGTGTGTGCTGCTGTGTGTGTGTGCTGCTGTGTGTGTGTGCTGCTGTGTGTGTGTGCTGCTGTGTGTGTGTGTGCTATGTGTGTGTGATGCTGTGTGTGTGCTGCTGTGTGTGTGTGCTGCTGTGCGTGCGGCCTACTTCTGCTCCGAGCGCCGCTTCACCCTCTCAGAGTAACTATCGACGTGACCTGGCGGATTAAACGCCAACCAGCCATGGAACACGTGGAATTGTCACCCAGTCCCTTATTATAAATATTAACAGGCAGACAATTCCAGCCGGCCACTGACCTCTGACATTCAGTGCAGCGTGTGCGCATGTGTGTGTGTTATAGGGGGATCATGATGACCACGATGAATCGTCGATAAAATATCGACGCTTAAATCTCCAGACGGCGCACTATCGGATTGCCTCGCGTGATAAGCGACGTTTCTCGATTTGTATATATGTTGTACGTAACGGGGTTCGCGTGACCCCTGCAGCCACTAGAGGCGCTACCATTCACTGCAATGTTAAATAATAGATTATTATTGAATCGAATCGCCGTGGTGAGGGTGCGGGGGGGCGTCAGTGGGGTATGTGAAATCGTAACACCTCCGGTGTGCTGTATCTGCGTGTGCGGTGTGAGCGTCTCTGTACCAACTCTCTCAACCGCAGCGTCTGCCAGATGTCTCTGTTAGCGAGGAGAGGGGTGACTGCTCGCTCAGCGCACTTGATGGGCCATGTCAGGGGAATCCTCTCTCTGTCTCTCTGTCTCTCTCTCTCTGTCTCTCTGTGTGTGTGTCTCTCTCTGTCTCGCTCTCCCTCTCTGTCTCTCTCTGTCTGTCTCTGTCTCTGTCTGTCTCTCTCTCTGTCTCTCTCTCTGTCTCTCTCTGTCTCTCTCTGTGTGTGTCTCTCTCTGTCTCGAGTCCAGCTCCAAGCCGAGCAGCGACACTGGCCCGGTCCGCTCCTTTTTTTAATACGCGGTTCTCCGTGCGATATCGGTTGTGTCTGTGTGACGCATGACATAACCGCCATCACGTAATACTCATCGGATGAGACCACGCTCATCGGATCTCGGAAGCTAAGCAAATGCGAGCCTGCTTAGCGCCTGGACGCATTGCCATCAGGGCTTTGCCAGCTGCGGTAGACACACGAGTGAGCGAGGTTGCCAGGTGATGGCAGTGCCAAGTGTCCACCCCCTCTCGAGTTCTGGGTTTTCTCCGCGGTCTCCATTTTCTCCCCACACGAAGCCAAATTTCTCGTCGATGTGATTGACCACACATCCCATGGTGTGAGAGACGAAGGCGACTGAGACTCATCAGGATTTCCGCCACGAATAATTGACGCGCATTATTAGTATTATGATAACAACAATCATGGAACCAAACTGGTCCGTTCACAGCACCTCGAAGACAAAGCCGTGCAGCTTGAGTCAAAACATAATTAGACTCCAGAAATGTGCAAAATTTAACCCACGGGGAGACCGGTGGTGCGAGATTGGGTGAGTACTGCGCTGCCTAAGAAGCACGTGGGCTCATCGTTCACGCCTCGCCATGCTCTGACATAGGCAAAGTCCAGGGCCGCGAGACTCCCTAAAGAGCTCCCCGCGCCGGGCAATGTTGTGGAGAGCGGGCGCCGTCACCGACGCCGCAGACACCGCTGGAGGAGACTCGCAGAGTCCGAGGGAGACACTCGCGTGATGGTTTGTGTGGTGGTGGTGATGGTGGTCGGGGGTAGGGGGGTGAAAGGTGTTACCGTATTGTCCGGATTCTAAGACGCACCCGAAATGTCAGTACCGTCACACGAAGAGAGTTTGCACGCGCGCCTACCGGATTATAAGACGCACCCGCGACTCCCCCCCCCCCCCCCATTCACATCCACGGAGTGACGGGGGGGGGGGGGGGTCCCCGTAGTGCGTCATTACCGGGAGAATACGGTAACAGGAGCCCCGTGGCCACCAACACACACACGCAGCTCTGAACCTCGTAGCCACGCCCCAGCGCAAGGCTGTTGTCTTTTTGTTTTGTATCCCTCGTTAGTGATAACAACAACAACAAAAAGACGCTAACTTTAAAGTTACGGTCAGGCGCACAGTAGTATCGCTCGTGACGTCACAACGGGTCGCGTGTTACCCATCGTCACAAGGGGGAATGCCGCCCCACGTGACTTGAGAGTATTTTTTGTTATGAAATTTTTAAACAAATCAATTTAAAAAAAGTGTCATTAAATAATAACGCAGCTGTCGGATAGCCCGGGACACACACACCCAGAGACAAGGCGCTCACGCGCGTGTGTGTGTGTGCGCGCCTCACAAGTTCAGTGTTAAGAGCTGCCTGTCTATTGAGGCTCGCGTCTCTTTAAACAAATGGATATCGGAGATAGCAACAACAACAACAACACACGGCGCGGGCTAACGAGTTGAGCTCACGTCGCAAGATCGTGACGAGAGGTGACTGCGGCGGCGGCGGCATGGCGAGCGCTTCATCCAGCGGTGGATTGAGCATGGCCCTCCTGATGACGACGGCGAGGGGTGAAGGAGCTCGGGTTCGTCCCGGGGTCGATCGGTCGCTCGCACGGACGTTGGGGACTTCTTTCGCACCGTACGACGTAGCCAACAGTGCTGACCGGTGCAAGGCGTTGGGTTCGCAGTGGCATCGGAGAGCGCATCTCCACCCCCCCCTCCCAGCCCCCCTCCCCCCTGCACCATCTGCCCCCCACTCCCCGACCCGCACGTGTTGATTCTGTAGGGGCCCCACGGGCGCCGCGGCCTCCGCGGGGGGGGGGGGGGGGGTTGGCCCCGAGGGCCGACCGAGGCGACCGAGTGTACATATTCGGTAAAGGTATATAACAATGTCGCTGTTTGTAACACGAATACATAATTAAAGTGAGCAAGTGTGTGTTTATTATGTGTACGGTTGGAGCTGTCGTATAATAACAGCCCTTCTTCCCCATCGCAAGTCTTACCTACGAGTCGTGCCGCTTCTGTAGCCGAGTGTCTTGGTGTCGCTGTGAGTGATGACAACGGCTGTACATAGGCTAGCGAGCCACCTCGCGTGTGTACAGTCTCGGTTCCGTGATGATCCATGTGGTTGGTGGTGCTGGTGCTGGTGGTCTCTTTTTTTGTAGCGAGAGCTTTCCGAAAAAGGTTTAATAAAATGAAATTGATGGTGTGTGATGGCGTAACAAGCACGGAATCGTTTGTTTGTCCCGAACGACCCGTTCGCTCGCTCGCTCGCACGCTCACGCGAAAGATGTTCACTTCTCAACCGAATGCAGGAACTGTGTTTTTGTCCGGGGGGGGGGGGGGGTGGGTTCTCTGCTGGATATTGCAGAGAAAGTGGCACGTGAGTGACAAGCCACAGCCGTAGGCGGGAGGCACACGGACTGCGTGCGGTGTGCCGTGCCGCTGACCCTCGGGATAGTCCCGGCTGAAGTGTAAGCCCCCCCCCCCTCCCGCCGTTGTCGCTCGTGCGAAACCAGATAACGCGCAGACACACTGGTGGGACACGTGACGCAAACAAAACACCGACTAAGAGCTGATCGCATTGATGTGGGGTGCACCGTTGGGAGATATCTTATCTAGGATTGTATGTGCGGCAGCGCACAACAACCCCCGTCTGTGCGCCGTGCCGGCCTTAATAGGTGCTCACAAACAGCACTTGCCCACGAGCAGCACTTGCCCACGAGCAGCACTTGCCCCAGCAATCTGTGCTGTGCGATTGCACGGGCATCTTTAAGCTTGGTACACAAAGACACGGGCACCCATATATGCGCTGCCTGTGTCCTCACATCCACTAATCCACCACCATCACCTTCACATGTCGCACCATCACCTTCCGTCAACAAACATTCCACACCATCGGCTCCACCTTCCATTCCGTAGCTATCAGCATCCCACACCATATCACCTTCCACGCCATAATTTTCACATTCCCATAGCCGTTCAATCAGCATCAATAATCCACTCCATCACCATCGCGTTCACATGACCATCGCCTTCCCACGCCTGTGCCGGAG